GCACTCCAGTCTGGGCGACAGAGTGAGACTCCAACTCAAAAAAAAATAATAATAATAATTTTAGGATTGTCCCTCCACATGCTTGAGGAAACACCTGGTACCTCATCTACCTGGCTTTGTGTTCAAGTGAAAGTCTTGTGATTTAATCTGTGAAAATTTAGGATAAAAGGCTTACGGTTTGTCCCATTAAACGGCTTCTGCACTAGACAGAGTCCAGTCTCCTTCTTTCTTTCTTTTAATATCTATCCCTCTTACAGAATCGCCAACGCCGCCACATCTTTCCAGAGACCCCCAAATCCTGCAGGAGCTGGCCCCCGTAACTGGCGCCCAAACAGGGACCCTGGAAAGGTAAGCTTTTCTCTCATTTCAGGACGGCTAGGATCTTACCTAGGGGTGCTGCAGACCCCTCTGTAGAGACAGGTAGAGCAAGTACGGGTAAGGATTCAATTTTTGACACCAGAGCCACCATGGGCCAGAGCGTGTCTAAGGAACATAAAATGTTCATCAGTATCTTAACGAATACTTTGTCTAAACATGAAGCTAAAGTTTCTTCTTCTAATCTAGCTCGTTTTCTACACTTTGTGCAAGAGCAGTGTCCTTGCTTTCCTAAAGAAGGAACAGTGAGTTTGGACACCTGGATTAAAGTTGGGGAGGAATTATGGTTGTATTATTCACATCATGGGCCTGAAAAGGTCCCCCCGATGCCTTTTCCTTGTGGAACTTAATTAAAGATGCTTTAGATCCACAGCATGACTATGAGAGATTTCCTTCCAAAAAGGCTGCTAACAATGATGAGGAAGAGGAAACTTTCCTTTTCCCTGCTGCTTCGGCACCTCCTTTACATGATGACAAGTTATCTTCGCAAAATAAGGCTGAATTGGAGGACAAAATGGTAAAATATCATGAGCAGATATATCCCAATAATGTTACTACACCTCTTTCTAAGGTTTTCCTTTAAAAGTTGAGAATACTAAAATAAAGCCTGGACTGAGTTACACTTTTCCCTTTCTTATAATAATGCAGGGAGATTGAGCAATAATAAGCAAAAGTATATAAGTAATATATAAATAATATAAGTAATATAAGCAATGTATATAAGCAATATATAATATGAGTAATATAAGTAATATAAGCAAAAGTATATAAGTAATAAGCAAAAGAATATCAAATTACAGTCTTGCTTTAACTGTGGTCAAGTCGGACACATCAGCAGAGATTGTCCGGCTAAGTGAGGTATGGCCGGCTTACACAGCACACTGTCGCCACCTACTGGGGCTACTCGACCAAAAACATTGTGTCCCAAATGTCAAAAAGGCTATCATTGGGCAAGGGAATGCCTATCTAAATTTTAAAAACGGCACTCCTTTAATTCCACAACAAGTTATCCCAGCTCAGGGAAACTTCCAAAGGGGCCAGCCCCAGCCCCATACAACAGTAGGGGCACAGGTTCCACCACGAACCCGTCTGTTTCTTTTGCTTCATCACAGAGCTCATCCGAGCCACCCCAGGAAGTGCAGGACTGGACTTGTGTTCCTCCACCACCACAATATTAACTCCAGACGTTCCGCTAACTCCAATTCCTATGGGAGTAAAGGACCCTCTCCTGGAAGGAATAGTGGGCCTAATTTTAGGCAGAAGTTCCTTGTCTTTACAAGGAATTTCCATTATTCCTGGAGTGGTGGATTCGGATTACACAGGAGAGATCCAGGTGTTTGTTGCTCCCCCTAGCAAAACAGTGAAGTTTAACAAAGGCCAGAGAATAGCCCAGTTGCTGCTCCTGCCTTATCATAAAGCAGATAAAACTTTAACTAACCTGCCTAGAGGTGCCTCTGGATGTGGCTCTAGTGATGTTGCTTTTTCGGTTCAGAAAGTTACTGATCCTAGACCTTTTAAAGATTTATGTATACAAGGAGTCAAAATTATGGATTATTAGACACTGGAGCCGACGTCTCATGTATTGCCAGGAAAGACTGGCCTGCCTCATGGCCAACTCGTATGGCTCCTTCGGGACTCACAGGCATTGGTCGAGCACCCTCAGTAGCCAGAAGTTCTAAAATTTTAAATTGGACATATAATGAGACTTCAGAAACTTTTTGCCCATATGTTATTCCATCTATCCCCTTTACCTTATGGGGAAGAGACATTCTCTCACAAATGGGCATGCTTTTGTGTAGCCCTAATGATAAAGTCTCAGCACAAATGCTGCAAATGGGCTATGATCCCTTTAAGGGACTTGGTAAAGACGGACAGGGAATACAAAAACCTGTTCGAGTCAATAAAAAAAACAAACCGAGCTGGCATTGGCTATTCAAATGTATCCTAGGGGCCATTGTTCCTAAAACTGCCGACCCTATTACCTGGAGAGATGACAAACCGGTTTGGGTGGAACAATGGCCCATGCTCTCAGAAAAACTTAAGGCAGCTAAAGAACTAGTCCAGCAACAGCTGGAGGCCGGTCATACAGAGCCTTCTACTAGTCCATGGAATACCCCTATTTTTGTTATTGAGAAAAAATCTGATAAAGGGAGACTTTTGCAGGATTTAAGAGCTATCAACGCCACTATGAAACCCATGGGGGCGCTGCAGCCTGGACTTCCATCTCCGGCTGCTATACCTGTTAACTTTAATATTATAGTCACTGATCTACAGGACTGTTTCTTTACTATACCTTTAAGCCCAGAAGACTGTAAATGGTTTGCATTTAGCTTACCATCTCATAATTTAATACAGCCGTTTCAAAGATTTCAGTGGAAAGTCTTGCCACAAGGAATGAAAAATAGCCCTACTTTGTGTCAGAAATATGTGGATGCTGCTTTACAGGGTAGTAAAAGCCAATATCCTAATCTCAATTTAATCCATTATATGGATGACATTTTGCTGGCTTACAAAAATCAAGCCTCTTTACATGAGATCCTTAATGAAACTATGACTGCTCTCACTGATTGCGGTTTGAAAATTTCTCCTGAAAAGATTCAAACCAATCCTCCTGTCACATATCTTGGTCGTATGTTAAACACACAAACAGTGAGTCATCAAAACTTTGCAGTTACGAAAAGATCATTTGGTGACCTTAAATGATTTCCAAAAACTGTTGGGAGACATTAATTGGATTAGACCCTACTTACATATTACCACGTCAGATTTAAAACCTTTATTCAATATTTTGCATTGCAGGGGGATTCTTCTCCCAACTCTAAGAGAAGTCTAACACCAGAGGCCAAAAAAGCCTTGTCCCTTGTGAAAAAGGCTATTGAGTCTCAGAAGTTAAAAGAATAGATTAATTCACCTGCCTTGGGACGTAATAATTCTGGCCACTCTCCATACTCCCACAGGGTGTCTGTGGCAAGAAGGACCAATGGAATGGCTCATCTGATGGTAACCTCTAAAAAATATTGGCTTCTTATCCTTATTTAGTAGTTTTGCTTGTAACCAAGGGAAGACAAAGAAGCGTTGAACTATTTGGACATGATGTACACAAAGAAGGGAAGAATTAAGTGAACTAGGAAAAGAGCAAATGAAAACTGGACTGGGAAACGCAAATAGTTAAAACTTGAAGGTACGGAGAAAGTGAAAAAAGAAAAGATAAAGCACACGGACAAGATGCTCTAGCACAAGAAGCAGCCAAAGAACAGTAACAAGCTTGGGAGGGAGCCCCTCAGCTGGCCTGGTCATGCCAGGGAAGCACAGTGGGACACCAGGGGCAGGGAGGCCGAGGAGACAGCACTCACATAGCAGATGGCGGCCAGCTCCTGCCGCATGTGGGCCTTTTCCACCAGACCCTGGGCCTTGGTTGGGCTGACACCATGGTCATAAACCGTAAACTTGGTCCCCATGAGGTTGGATCTAAAATCAGGAGAAAAAGTAATCATGATGACCTGTTTTGTTTGTTTGTTTGTTTTTGAGTTGGAGTCTCACCCTGCTGCCCAGGCTGGAGTGCAGTGGCATGCTTACGGCCACCACAGCCTCAACCTGCTGGGCTCAGGCAATCCCTCTGCCTCAGTCTTCCAAGTACCTGGAACTACAGGCATGCCACCATGCCCGGCTCATTTTTGAAATTTATTTATTGCAGGGATGAGGTCTTGCCAAGTTGCCCAGGCTGGTCTCGAACCCCTGAGCTCAAACAGTCCTCTCACCTCAGACTCCCAAAGTGCTGGGATTATAGGCGTGAACCACCACGCCTGGCTGTATTTTTTCTCTTATACAAACACAATATAGGAGAGATAAGGACAGAATGGAAGCCTACTTGCCTAGTCTCCAAATGTCTACATGTTTACCATCACTTTTGCAAAAATCTCATAAAGTGAGGAAGGGACTAAGATATTCATTTATTCATTCAGAGACAAGGTCTCACTCTGTTGCCCAGGTGGCAGCACGGTGGTGCGAGCATATCTCTACAATAAATCAAAAATTAGCCAGGTGTGGTAGCGCACGCCTGTAATTCCGGCTACTAGGAAGGCTGAGGCAGAAGGACACCCGGAGCCGAGCAGGTCGAGGCTGTGGTGGCC